GAATATATTATGATTTTGACTATTATTATTATTATTATTATCATTATTAATACTAATATTATGCATATAGAGAGTTAAGTGTAAATGTATATATATATATATATATATATATATATATATATATATATATATTACATTGGTAGTTGAAATCATAAATAAATATGATTATGCAGAAATTTCTTAACTTACAAAAATATAAGTACACCAATTTAATATGCATATTATTAATGTAATGAATCATATCGATTATTGAATTATATTGATATCATAAATTGATCTAAATTATTAATATAGAGTTATGATTATTGATTAATGTTAAATTTTACTAGTTGAAATCATGAATCCATTGAAGCTAGAAAATCATAGAAAACCTGAAAATACTAGACGGCCATTTCGTCCTAGTATGGGATTCTTCAGCAGTGCGCATCTATGACAATGGTGTACAGTGGTGAAATTTTGTGGATTGATTGAAGTTAGACATTAACACCGTCGAATGCTGGCCGGCTCAGTGGTGTAATGGTTAAGCGCTCACACGTGAGTCTGTCAGATCCTGGGTTTGAATCTCACAGGGGGGGGCGGGATCATGGGTGCACGCCGCTGAGGAGTCTCATACTAGAACAAAACGGTCGTTCAGCGCTTCCAGGTTTTCCATGGTGGTCTAGCTTCAATTGACTCATGGTTTCAACAAATCAAATTTCTAAAAATCCCCACAAAAACCCCATCTCACAATGTTAAATTACTAGGTTGAAAACTATTGTGTATATTATAATAAATTTAATAGTTGAAATCATAAATCGATTGAAGCTAGATTATCATGAAAAACCCGGAAACACTGAACGGCCGTTTTGTTCTAGTATAGAACTCTTTCGTAGTGCATATCCACGATCCCGCCTCGCCAGGACCTATAAGTCTCGCGCGCGAGCGCTTCATCATTAGATTGGTTAAAGTTAGACATTAACATTGTCGGATGTTAACACATTGTTCTAAGAATGAATTGCTTGAATACGAAACCAAAGGTCCTTGGTTTGAGTCGTGAACCTGGAGTTATCGATGATCACTATTAAATCCTATACTAGAACGAAACAGTTGTCCAGTGTTCCCAGGCTTCAATATGTTTAAACATATGATAATAATAGTTCTAACTATACAACTCCACGTTTGTTAGTGTAATGAAATTTTGTTTATTTATAAAATCTACCGAGAAAATCTTATTAGTAGTTTTCTTTAAATTAGAATAGGTAAATTACTGTGTATGGGCTTGGACTGATCACTTTGCAAATCTAACAGGCATCATAAATTCGAAATATACTGGAAAAAAGATCTAACATAAAACGCATTTTCTTGTTCAATGAGAACAATGAATTAATACTATACTTAGACTAAACAAGGTGTAAACTTCATAGATGATAATTGTTGAAAAGAAAACTATTCTTACAGACTGATGATACTAACTTGTCATCAGTTCTACATATTATCATCACTAACCTAGCTGAATATGAGGATCTTTGGAAATTTTCATCATATATTCATCTTTCTACTTGTAAGTAGTAGTTTATTATTATCAAGAAAATGTTTATTATTATATTCAGGAGTTTATTTGATTATTAACTCTATTCAACCGATTGTCTTAGAAAATAGTTTAACATCAGTATGGGGTTATGGAAATTGTTGAGATTGTTGATACGATCAATATTAGACCACATTTGAAAACCTGGAGGCACTGGACGGCCGTTTGGTCCTGGTGAGGCAGTTACCCACCGAAGACAATGAAAAATGACCACGCAATTTCGTGGATTTGTTGAAGGTAAACATTAACTCTGTTGGATGCCGGTCGGTACAATGGTCTAAATTTTAAGCGTTCGCATGTAACACCAAAGTTCCTGTATTCGAATCCAGTGTGCGGGATAGTAGATGTACATTGCTCAAGAGTCTCATACTAGCACGAAACGACCATCCAGTGCTTCCAGGTTTTCATTGTTTGTCTAAAATTGATCGATTCATGATCTCAATCAAAAATGGATTAATAATTGTAAATTGTGTGATATAATAATTAAAAAAATATTTCCGTTACATCAATCAAATTACGATTTTTTTTAGTGTAGAAGTTTGTGGAGATATTGATGAATTATTCAGGTTTCCTTAAATACAGTACCATTTACCATATCTTTCCTTGTAACTAAATTTGTGTGGTAATTCCTGATATTCCAACAATAAGTTATGATTCATTGATGTTTACTATGTTGGAAGTAAAACAAATATGATCCGTGTTGATGGATGAGCCTTGGACAATATCATGAATATCTGATAAAATTTAAGGTATTAAATACCAATTTAGTTCTTTCAACGCTAAGCATTGGCCTCATGGCCTAAGTTTTCTGAGTTAGAAACTTAATCACTAGGCTACTAATTCAACATCCAATAATTTTAATGTCTAACTTGAATTAATCCGCGACATTGAACAACCATCTTTCACTGTCTTCAGTATGTAACGGCTTCACATCCAACACGGTTGAACCTACACTATTCACATCTTCTCACCTAGAACTCGGAAAATTTACTCTCGAAACAAATCACTAATGAACATATAATAATTATCAATATAAGATAGTGGAAATTGTTAGATTGTAATTGAGTCCAATACTAAGACAAAACGGTTGTGCAGTACTTCATTGTTGATCTAACATTGATCGATTCATGAACTCAATAAAAAAACTCAACAATTTCCACAACCCTATACTGATAACCAATTATTATTTATGCATAGTATCCATGTATAGAAGTGTGTATATTATATATAAAGTTGTAACATATTTCTTACCTCATTGTTTCTTCACCTCTCTCTCTCTTTCTCTTTGTAAGATTAATTTTCACTATTTTGATTATATAATATATACAATTAACTTGGGACAAGAGAAAAAAGAAGTACGCCAATTATAAATAACACTACTTTTAACTATATGTGTAATTACATATCATGTATACAATTCCAATTACCTAGGCTATTTGTTGCTATGCTGAAAAAAAAAACATTGAAATAATTAAATATTACGTTATTTATTTGAATAGGATAGGTGACACGTGACTTCTATGTGTATAAGTTTCATATTGTCAATGTCTTGTTGATAACACTCATTATTGGAGTGGTTTCAATTTTTATTTTTATTATTTTTTTTGTGTCCACATTTCAATTGTTACTTTTATATCCTTTCTTTTTTGTTGCTATGCAATATTAATGGAAAAGGTCTAGTATGAAGTCATTTTACAGTCATATTATTATAAGTAGTAATGATTGATCATTCAGATAATTGTTATAATGGAATGAATATTGCAAAAGTTGGATTAATATTAATTATAATTTTAATGGTTGAATTTACGAGTCCCTCAACTTTTAGTGTTCATACACAAAATCGAAGGTCCTGGGTTCGAGTCCCATATGCGAGATTGTGGAGGCGCACTGATTATAAGTCACATATTAGAACGAAATGACTGTCCAGTGCTTTTAGGTTTTCTATGATGGTCCAGCTTTAATTGATTCATGAATTTAACTGTGAAGTTTACTACAATTTCTATAAATCCCTATTTTGATAATTTTATTGTATAATTACTGAATAATTAGATTACTATGTCTATGTATTGCATTTATCATAAGCTTTTAGTTAACCCATCAAATACTGTTGTACGACTTGTTTTTTTTCTAATGTGTAGGCAGTTGATTACTCACACTGTTCCCAATTCACAGCCACTTCTAGCCTGTTTACTTATAATTGTTAATCTTCATTTTATGGTGTGTTTCAGCGTGGTATTGTCTATGTATAAACCATGTCTTTTTGAATTATAGGGATAGTAGAGTTATATTACTATTTCTGGGAGGAGCTTATGCATAATAGACCCATAGGAGCTTAGTTATCAATTCATGATCAATACTACTTTGTCAAGGTAATGATAGATGCGAAATAGACTAAATTAGAATTATGATTCTGAATAGCGACTTGATATTTGATATTGGTCAGCATTTTCAAGACATAACAATAATAAGTCAGATTATTTACAGAATGATTACATTTAAAGTATCGTTATAAGTCAAAGAGTATATCTTAGCAAGCCACACACACACACATACATACACACATCTTCATTAGTTCAACACAGAATGTACTCAAGACTTTCAAGTCATAGAGAGATGATTGAACTGTAAAAATCACTGTCGATGTCGAACGGTACAACATGTTGATCATCCATATGCGATCATCAGTACTTAAAAGAAATTATAAATTAGTCATTTGTCATTTATATATCAGTTATCATAATGCATTCTACATTCAATCATTAAGTTACATGTTTTGAACCCTATTGAATGTAATTTGATGTAGTCAATCAAACAGTATCATTAGTGGCTCAAAGCCAGGTTATATATATATATATATATGAGTGGCTACTACTGAGGAATCTCACAATAAGACGAAACGGCTATCCAGGTTTTCCATGATGATCTAAGTTCAATTAATTCGTGATCTTAATTATTGAAATTATTATAATATCCACAAAAACCCCTTCTGATATCGATCAACATGTGCTGAATAGTGACTGGCGTTAACCAGGTATTTCCTGGAGTTCTAGTGAGAAACAGTGTCCAACGGAGTTCAACCAGGTTTGTTGTGAGATCGTCACTCACTAAAAACAATAGTGAACAGTTATTCAATTTTGTGAATTAATTAAGGTTAGACATTAACACTGTTAGATGCCAACCGGTTAATTGATCTTGAGGTAAAGTGTACTTTGATACGAATCTTACGAGATGGAATCGTGGATGCGCACTACTGAAAAGTCCTACAATATGACGAAATAGTCATCCAGTGCTTCCAGGTTTTCCATGTTGATCTAGTTTTGATTAACTCATGATCTCAACTATTAAAATGACTAAAATCTCTGAATACATACATATAAGATCGCATTTCAATAGGATCCATGATAAAATTGTTATTTATTTTATTTTTGCATAGATACAACTAATTGGACAAATTTAAAATGTACCCAACAAACATTAAAACAAAATAAATTAAATTATTTGAATCATAATGAAGATAATAATTCAAATAATCAAATAGAACTAAATTCATATGATAATGATAATCATAGAAATACAATAAGTCCAATTGAATTAGTTTATGATCCTATGAAATCTTTAATCAATGGTACATTATCACATGATAGTGGAATAGGGAATTCAGGACATATTGAACAATTGAATAAAGATACAACAACAACAACAACAACTACTACTACTACTACTACTAACACTACTGAAATAATACATTCAAGTAGTATAAATAGCAGTGATCATATTAATCATAAAGATGATTATGTATTAGATTTAAGTGTAAACAAATTATTTACTAAAGATATTTTAACATCATATAAAGATAATTCTAATCAAGAACACTTCCTATTTAATAATGGAAAACAACAACAAACTATTGAAGAATGTCAATTATATGAATCATATATAAAAGGTATAACAATGAATCCATTCATGCAATTTCTACCATATTCATCTTCATCAGAATATCATAATTTAACATTAAAAACAACACCAACAATAACATCACCCACTATTCCAATTCTACCATCTACATCGTGTAATGTAATGAATAGTTACGACGGAAAGCTAACAAAATCTGTTAATAATAGTAATTTCTGTCCATATTCTTTATATGGAACATCATATCAACCATTCGAATTAACAAAGAATTCATCATCATCATCATCCTCATCTTCATCGGTAGATTTATTCACTGCAGCAGCAGCAGCTTATGCAGCGGCAGCGGCGGCCGCGGCTGCTGCTTCTTTAGTCCAACCAACAATATCATCAAGCATTACCACTATTCCAACAACAACAACAACAACATCAACCACAACAATGATCAATTCATCAATGATATCAACTAATGATTATGATCATCATGCATTAATGTTAACAACAATGATGAAAGAAAGATCATCAATATATTCAAATACATTAGAACAAATGAACCATAGATTATTATCATTACCAATTAATAGTAATAATGGTACATCAATCATACCACAAACATTATTAACATTATTTACGAATTCAAATTATAATTGGCCGCCAAAATCATCAACACCTGTATCGAATAATTTAAACAATAATGAATTTATGTCTAAACATCGTATACAATATCAACAACTTCCTGGATCTTTTATAAATCAACATTATTCAGAGAATCAACCAATGATGCATATTGATGAAGAATATTTAATGAATGACGAAAGTTCAAATGAATTAAATCAATTAAAAACATCACCTAGAATGGATTATGGAAATGATGTACAAAAATTGAATTTTCATAATGATAATAATGAAGATAATAATGATGATGATAATGGTGAAGATGATGATGATGATGATGATGATTATGATGAAGATTGTTTAACCATACAAAGACAACAACAAATACCATCAACAATGATAACGTCTACAACAATAACAACAACAACTACTAGTACTACACGAACATCAACTACAGCATCATCATCATCACGTCCATCTGAAGATTATTTAGAACAATTTATGAAAATTGATCAATCACAAAATATATTATGGCGTCAATTAGCTGATCGATTTCAACGTACACTTGGTCCAAATCAATGTGGCGTTTGTAATAAAGTACTTAGTTGTCGTAGTGCATTAACAATGCATTATCGTGTACATACAGGTAAGTAAATCAAATATATACTCTGTATCATGAAATTTTCCATATGTTAAACTTTACAGATGTTACGTTACGTTACTTACCTACTTATGCCTGTTACTCCTCACGAAGGAGCATAGGCCGCCGACCAGTATTCTTCAACCCACTTTGTCTTGGGCCTACCGTCCTAGTTCTATCCAATTGTTGTTCATTCTTCTTATATCTGTCTCAGTTTCTCGGTGTATTATGTTTTCTGGTCTTCTTCTCCATTGGCCTTGCGGATTCATTGTGACGGCTTTCCTTGTGACACAGTTGGGTGCTTTCCTCGATATTTATCCTATCCACTTCTATAGCTTCTTCCTTATTTCTTACTCTTATGGAATCTGTTTCGTTCTCTCTCACAGTAGGTTGTTACTAATAGTGTCTGGCCAACGGATCTGAAGTATTTTGCGTAGACAGCTGTTAATAAACACTTGTGTATTCTGGATGATGACTTTCGTTGTTCTCCAGGTTTCCGCCCCTCATACAGTAGAACTGTCTTGACATTGGTGTTGGTTGACAGACAGTTGTTTTGAGTTCCAGATGTTCTTGAGTTGTAAATATGCTGCTCTTGTTTTGTCGATCCACACTTTCACATCTGCATCAGATCCACCGTGTTCATCAATGATGCTGTCCAGATATGTAAAGGTTCTTACATCTACCAAATCTTCTCCATCAAGTGTGATTCGATTGGTGCATACTGTGTTTTATCGAAGAATCTTGCTTTTCTTTTTGTGTATATTGAGACCTACTGCTGCTGAGGCTGCTGCTACACTGGACGTCTTCTCCTGCATTTGTTGTTGTGTGTGCGATAGAAGAGCTAGATCATCTGTGAAGTCTAGATCATCCACTGTGTACCATGCTTCCCCTCAGATGTTGAAGTCTTCATGATCCAGTTGATCACCAGGAGAAAGAGGAAGGGTGAGATTAAGCAACTTTGCCTGACACCTGTCTTTACCTCGATAGAGTCTGTCAACTGTCCTCCATGCATGATTTTTCAGTTTAATCCACCATAGGAAATCCGTATGATATTGTCTATCTTCTGAGGCATACCGTAGTGTCGAAGAAGCTTCTGTAGTGTTGTTCTGTCCACGCTATCAAACGCATTTTCTCAGATGTCACGTAATTGCTTTAAATTTGGGGAACATGAAAAAATCACAAATTCACATAGAAAATCGTAGCGAACAATCAATCTCAAGTGTATTGACAAATTGTAATGTTTTTATTGAAGACTACGTATATTTATAGTAAGCACGAACACAAAGATTTTGTGAACACCATCGCATGGGTCATTACATGGCATACGATTAGTTGGTGCACGTTGATTGTCCTTGACAGGGATCGATAATCTATGATATATTCAGTGATCCAACTACTAGATCGTTTGTCTGGGTCTCAATGATATTTGACTGGCCCTACACATATATGTACATATATCCAATACTATTAGTAATGAGGTCTTGGATAATAACAACTAAGGAGTCCCATATTAATCTCATTTAACTATCTAATAATCCTTAAATTTCAATATCATCTCAAAAGAAATCAATTCTTGATAAATATCACTTATAAATCAAAATTATTATTATTATCAGAAGGGGTTTTATGGAGATTTTAGTAATTTTATAGTTGAATTATTCATGAACCAATTAAAGTTAGACCACCATTGAAAACCTGGAAGCACTAGATGGTCGTTTCGTCCTAGTATGAAATTAGACCACTAAGCCAGCATCCAGTGGTGTAAATGTTTGGAGGTTAAGCGTTCGCGCGTGTGAGACTAATAGGTCCTGGGATCGGATCTCAAGGGGTAAGATCGTGGATATGCACAGTTGAGAAGTTCTATACTAGGATGAAACGGCTGTCCAGTGCTTCCAGTTTTTTCATGGTCGTCTAACTTCAATTGACTTATGATCTCAACTATTAAATATTCACAAAAACCACTTCTGATATTAATTAACATATGCTTACTAGTGATTGTCTCTAAGAGGTAGTCCTTGGAGTTCTAGTGAGAAACAGTGACCAGTGGATTTCAACCGAGTGTATTGTGAGATAATAACTCCCTGAAGACACCGTTGGATGTGTCATTCAATTTCGTGGATTAGTTGAAGTTAAACATTAACACCATTAGATGCCAACCAGCTCAATGTTCTGGTGATTAGGCGTTCGCTTGCATGTGAGACTCATAGATCTTAGGTTCGATTCTCACGAGACTGGATCATGAATACACATTATTGAAAAGTTTCATACTAGAACGTAATCACCATCCAATACTTCCAGGTTTTCTATGATGATCTAGCTTATATTGACTAATGTATTCAACTATTAAAATACTAATCTTTATTATATTCTTTTCATTGAAAATAAATCAATAAATCTTATTCAAAATTCATCAAGATCAAGGTCAGCCCCTCCACCCCTCTAAAAAACATACACCAATTCAATTTTAATGATTAAAAGTAATTTTTTTTTAAAAAACATATTGATTTAAATTTTTAAATAATTGATTACAAATTTAAAATTTAAAATTAATTTATTGATTATTGATTGTTTTTTTTTAATAATTTTTTTTTCTCATTATTCATTAAAATATTTGTAGAAGAACGTCCATTTGTATGTATTATATGTGATAAACGATTTTCAACTAAGGGTAATTTAAAAACACATTTAGGAGTAAGTTTATTATTATTATTATTACATTATTATTATTATTATTATTATTATTATTATTATTATTATTATTTACTAACGCTTGTTACCTCATCGTGAAGGAGCATAAGGCATCCATCAGCATTCTCCATTCTGGACAGTTCTTTCCAGTTGTTATTCATCTTTTTCATATCTGCTTTCAATTCCTAATGTAGTGTGTTTGTTTTTTTTTTTTTTTGGTCTTTCACTTTTTCGTTTCGCTTCATGATTAAAAGTTAATATTTGCCTTGTGATGTAGTTTGGTGATTTGTGTAATGTATGTGTTATCCATTTCTAACATCTTTTCCTAATTTCCTCTTCAGTTAGAAGTTGGTTTGTTCTCTCTTGCAATAGGCTGGTGTAAACTAATTATCACTAGAAAATGAAATGATTAAATTCATGAGTCGATTAAAGCTAGACAACTATTGAAAATCTGGAATTACTGGACTGCCATTTCATCCTACTGTAGAAATCTTCAACATTGTGTAGGGGATTCGAACTCGGAACCTATGGGTTCGTACGCGAACGTATAACCTCTAGACTATTGAGCCAGCATCCGATAGATTCGCATACTAGAACGAAACAGCCGTTCATTGCTTTACTGTTTTCCAGGATGTCTAACTTCAATCGATTAGTGAATTCAACCATTAAATGACTACAATTTCCACAAACCCTCATTCAGACAATATCCATTAGAAAAATTAATTTAGGAAAAGAATAGTTAGAAATATAAACCATCATTGAAAACCTGGAAATATTGAATGGCCGTTTCATTCTAGTATGAAATATGATCGTACAATTTCGTGGATTGATTGAAGTTAGACATTAACACCGTTGGATGTCGGTTCAATAGTTTAGAGGTTAAACATTCGCATGTGAGACCAAAGTTCTTGGGTTCGAATAGCAGAGCATCCAATGCTTCCATTTATTCAATAGTCATTTAGCATTGATTGATGCATAATCTCAATCAAATACTCAACAATCTCCATAATCCTATGCTGATAATGGAATCTTAATCATACACTACACATTTTCCAACTTTAGTTAATTCATATTTATAATATGGTGTTGACGAGACTATAATTTATGGACGAAGCAATCAGATATAGAATAACAAGTCTTGAATTTTGGCGAAAAATTCACTCATCCATTTGGCCAAATGGAGTTTTGGCATTATAGCTGATGTTAGTTCGTGATGAAAAACCGAAATCTAGTTTCTCACACAGGTTTATAGCCCTCATCTAGTCCTAGTTATTAGGCGTACACTCTCAAGGTCACTTTAGCGTCTCTTGAACGTCATCCAAAAATTATAGTCTCATTGTGATTTTCATTCTAAATTGTCTATAGTTAACTGACTAGTTGATACTAAAACGTTAACATTTCTTATTAGAACTTCAGGAAATTCATCTTAAAGTTAAGCATTTACTATCATTCTGCATGATCAGTGGTGAATGCTATTTGTCTTCTTGAAAACATTCTACACTATACAAATTATGAATTTTTACTTGAAAATCATACAAGATTCATTTGCAGAACTAATTATCCAAGAGATTTTAAAGGGGATGACTACGATTCTGTATGAATTCTTGGATCTATTCCTTTTCATAGTTAATCAGCGTAGAATAAATCATCTTCTTTCTAGTTCACTTAAGTCCCCATTACTTCTTTGGCTGATATAAGCTCATAAGAAGCTTTGAGCCTAGGTTCTATGATACTTGGAACTCTTCAGTAAAATGTACTTATAATCTTGATTAAACTGAAGTAACTAACATCACAGTTTATAACATTACCATTGAATTGCTAAAATAATCACGTTCGAGTCGCAGTGTTGAATTTTACTGTTGGAATACAGATAAATTGAACAAACGATCCCTAAATTAAACGAATGATATTATCTAACTTCAAGTAAACCGATATTCGTATTCAGTAGAATAATGATTTTACTATAGGTTGCTAAATTTAAAATGAATGAAGTACTATAACTAAATACTACTTATATGTGTAAATAAGTAGATTTGATATCATTTTTTTTCTTATTTCTGTTGTAAAATTTTTTAGCAACATCATGAAACAATCGAAGCATATCGTACAGCTGTTGCTATAGCAATGGCAACTGGAACTGCATTACCTCGACCTCCACCAATGTCATCTACTACTGTTACAGTTCCGCTTTCAAATTCTGTTTCAATACCTCAAATGATTACTTCAATATCTTTATCAAATCATATATCAGCTATATCGTCCTCTTCTAACTTATCTCCTTCATCCACAATCTCAACTTCTTCATCTTCATTTAATAAACTATCAAAAAAATCACCAATTAGCCCGTCAACATCTCAACCAATTTATGTAGATAATTCGAAATTGAATACTACTACTACTACTAGTAATAATAATAATGAATTACAGGTCAGTTCAAATACATTCTCATTACCATGGTTACCTACAAGTCAACAATCATTAGCTCTGTTGAATTCAAATTGTTCAATAGGAAATTTTCAGAAACGAATTGATTCAAATTATTCATATGATTTAATGTTATTTGATAAAGGTAAAGAGAATTATCGAATGAATACTACTACTAATAATACTACTGATAATAATCATAGTAACTTATCAATCACCAATACAAATCAATTATTACAACATTATAATACATATAATTATTCATCTAATCGTAATCAGTTTGAATCTATGAAATTAACAACAAATTATACTGAATTATCGAAATGTATTGATTCTAGTAATAATAACGATCCAATCAATATGAATCACGATGATGATGATGATGAGAATGATGACGAGAATGAAGTTAATGTTACTGTTGGAATTGGTTCTGGTACTTATGAATCTGTGATCATTGTTGATGACAATGAGAAACAATATCATCGAAATAATGAACATTTATCAAAAAATCAACAATCAACAACTCCATCACCATCATCATCATCATCATTATCATCGTCATCATCATCCTCATCATCACCATCATTATTTCCTTCATCCATTATTTCTACTACTACTACAACTACGACTACTACTAGTACTAGTACTAGTACTAGTAGTAGTAGTAGCAGTAGTAATAGTATAACAAATGAAACATTAATTAATAAAAAAGATTACTATCTTGATTATACAACAAATAAATTTTTATCAGTTGCTAACTGTTTGTAAAAAAAAGAAAAGAAAAGAAAAAAATTTAACAAACAGAGAACATTTCCTTGCCTAATTTTTTCATGTTTTTGTTTTCTTTACTAACACTATTCTATTCTGTTCGATTCTTGTTTTCTTATTTATTTACTTGCCTGAATTAATAGTTTCTTCTTAATTGTTCAAATATATATAATAATATATTTCATTAAATATGGTCACCATCCTTCCCCCTTTCTGTGAGGAGGGGGTGAGGTGAAGGAGGTAGAACTGTAAACATTTCATTTTGATATTGTCACCATCCCCCCTTTCGATAGGAGTGGGGTGAAGGAATGTGGTAAAACTGTAAACATTTCATTTTAATATCATCACCATCCCCCATTTCGATGCGTGTGTGTGGACGGTGGTGGTGGTGAAGGAAAGTAGTAAAACTGTAAACATTTCATTTTAATAAGGGAATTCTGTAATTCTCTTGTAATTACAATATTGATTATTTTTATCAATGATAATGATGATAGAAACATTATTAGTCATGGTTACTAAATTTTGGTATGCTCCTCTTTTTCTTCATTTTTTTTAAAAAAAAATAGAATCTATGTAAAGAGTATAATGTAGAATTATAATTATTTAGAGAAATTAAAATAACATTTTGAATTTAATATTGAATTGTTTTCCTCTGTTACTAAGAGAAAAGCTTCAGTATTCTGTTTATCTTAGGGTTTGGTCGGTTGGAGGGGGGTAGAGGAATAGTCATCTTTGATATTGTAGAGCTTTGATTGTTCTTCTGAATAACATCATCAGTACAAATGTTAGGTAGAAGTGAAGTTTTGTTCTTTGAACTTAGTGATTTGTTCGCGTTCAAATTGGAACATTTCACTTTTAACTGGAATTTGTGTTGATAATATCGTTCAGAAGAACAATGAAAACTCCATGACTAAACCATCGAGATCAGAGAACAAAACTTCATCAAAATTATCCATCTGAGCTACAATTCTTCTCCATCATCTCAAGATCAGATCAATGACGTATAAACTATCAAGATAGTAGCATTACTTCTAACTCAACCGGTTTAGTCCATATCATCAAGATTATCCTCTGTTATACTAATAATATACTTCAGATATAGGCAGTTTATAAGCAGACAAATCAGACGGCATCCTAGTATAAAATAGATCATGCCAAAAAGTGGTTGTGACTATGAGAGACTGTTACTAATAAATTGGGAATGTCTTAAGAATAGTAACTTGTAGAATACTAGTTAACAGGTTAAATGGAAGCTTATAATGAAAGGAATATGAATATACATATAATATCGTCAAATAATAGTCCTACAATAAGATTATATATGATAATGATGGTTCATAAATAGATCCTATCGGTTACTATTCACTAATTCTTTATGCGAATATAACAGATTGACCAACAACTTCCTAGAAATCCTTAGAAATCACCTATAGCTGAGCTCAAAACACAGAATAAACGAAAGTAAGTATCCAAAAGAAGCTTCATTTTGAAAGTTAGTATAAATACAAAAACAAGAATGTTTATAGACCTGTATAAGACAATGATTGATATTCTAAAAGCTTCGAGAATTATACTAAAATGAATGTCAAGATTGAGAATTATTCAACTTGAGTACAATATGTAATCTGTTGTTTTTCTGATACTCTTTTGAAAGTCTCTTACTTACTTACTAATGACTATTACTCCTGATGGAGGAGCATAGGCCGCTCACCAGTAATGTCTATCCAACCCTGTTCTGGACAATCCTTTCCAGCTCTTTCCAGTTAATATTCATCCTTTTCATATCTGCTTCTATTTCCCGACGTAATGTGTTCTTTGGCCTTAAAACCGGAACCTAGGTTTTGTGCCACTTGACACTCGTCAGCAAGATGTACCTATAATCTTGAGAGAACTGATACTCTTTAATGGATTCGATCTCGTATCATCTAGCTTTACAGTTAGAACCGTTACCACTGAACTATCCGGGCTATCTCTATTGGATATTAATTAATTAGATTATTTATTTTCAGTTATTATTATTTTTAATCAGCTCCTAATGACTTTTAAGAAGTTCTTTAAACAATCCATATAAAGTAATACTATAATGTTTGGGGATATTATTCAATTACACTATCATATTTAAGCCATCATTAATAATCTATGATCATTGAATGATTATTTCGTCCTAGTATAGATCTCCTCAACAATCCATAATAATTTTGTTATAACTTGTGACCTGTATGCCTTGTTAATGGATAACGTAATGATACCGTCAATTAAGGAGCAATGAATCAAGAACGTGTAAAACCCGTATGAGCACTCTAGAGTCTTGATTGTCCCTGCTTTTCGCCTAACCCAGCCAATCAAGTCCAGAAGGCCAATCTCAACCTCTGCAATATGAATCATGTATTTCAAGCATATTCGGTTTATATACCAATCAAACAGACCACATCGTACCATAAAATAGAAAATAACATTTGTACAACAATTAGGCCAAACGTGGCTGTGAATGTGGAAGGTAGTGACTAATAGACAGGGTATAATTCAAGAATGGTAAAACGTATAATAATGGTTTATAGATCAAAATAAGGCTCATACTAAAAGGGATACGAATATGCAGATAGTTTAGTTACTTAACAATGATACGACAAAAAAAAAACGCATAGTATTGTTCCATAAATCGATCCCAAAAGTTACCATTCATTATTATCTTATCGGGACCTAACAACTTCAAACCAGAAATCGAATCTAAACTTTTCAATTTTTTATATGAGAATATTTTACATTTCTTTCTTTTTTTTATTATAATTTCATTCAATTTATTCTATTCTATTATAATCAAATTTATGTCCTTTATAACACTTTGATATAATATACCGAAAAAATAAACTCAAAACAAAAAAAAAAGAAAAGAAAAAAGAAAAGAAGATAAAATGTAAATTCATATGAATATTAATTATATATATATATATATATATATATATGTATACAAAGAGAGGGGGGAGGGAGGGAGAGAGAGGGGGGAGAGGGAGAGAGAAAAAAACAACAAAAAAACTCGTTTAAAATGTAATTTTTATTTTATTAAAATAAGGTTATTATGATAATAATGAGTAGTTTGTTATCCTTTGGTGTTGTTGATCTTCAGGTTATTGTTGTTCATGTTCTCGTTGTTGTTGTTGTTTTGTTTAAATGAACTAATGATCATTGAATGTACAACATTATTAGATATATAATTTTAATATTTAAATTTAATAGTATTATAGAATTGCAACTTTTTTTGTATTATACAATGTAATGTACTTAGATATTAGCATAAGATTAGAATAACTATAGGTTAGATATATAGTATTCATCTCCTGTATCCTTAGTAACAAACCATCTTTATTTTAATGTAGAATATTTTTTTCTTAAAAAAAATGTATTTTTAAACAATTTCCCTATTTAAAACAAAGATGAATAGTAGATAGTAGTGGAATTTAGTTTGATGTATGTTTCGTCCTATTTGGGACTCGTCAACTGGATGTACTTTCATCAAAGAGTTAATATCTTGGATTTTCCTCTTAGCCACTATTTAAAAAAGCTTGTGATATAAAGCTATATCGAGGCAGTCTACACAAGATGCACATATGCCAATAAGAGATTGATCAATTGAAGTCCTAAATAAAAATGGTAAGATACAAGTAAAATAATACCAAATGAAATTAATTTCCCATTTATTTCATGTGTTAATGTTGTATGTAAAAGTATGATTATTAATGGAGATTTCATTTTAATTTTGTAAATCTATCTACATTTATCTTGTATGGGCACAATCATTATAGAGTAACCCATATTGTAAGTTGGGAAAAAAAATGAAACGACCATTACGTGCTTCCAGGTTTTCAATGGTGATCTAACATCAATCAGCTCATAATCTCAATCAAAAACTTAATCATCTCCACAACCCTATACTTATAATTAGCATGTGCACATTAGTGACTAGATTAGTGAGTGAATTCTCAGAGTCCTAGTAAGAACCCATGACCAGTGGAGCTGATCCGTGTCGGATAGAGATAAGTATCTACTTTAGTACAATGGAAGATGGTCGCACAATTTTGTGGATTGGTTGAGGTTAGACATTAACACCGTTGAATGCCGGTTAGCTCAGTGGTCTAGAGATGATGAGTTCACACGTGAGACCGAAGGTCCTGGGTTGGAATTTCGCGAGGCGAGGTCGTGGATACACTCTGCTTAGGAGTTCCACAATAGAACGAAACGGCCGTCCAGTACTTCCAAATTTTTGATGGTGGTCTAACATCAATCCATTCATGATCTCAATAAAAAAAATGAAACTTAAAGCTTGTAATAAAATCGTCAGTGAAAATTCTGTACTGATATGCAGTATATACTCATTAAATGAACAGAAATGATGCTGAATATTCTACATGTATTGAACATCGAAATTTAGTTGGGCTGGAAATCCTCACTTTTCCATTCCTTAAATTTATTACCCTAAATAATTAGTGGAGTTCAACTGGGTCTGTTGTGAAATAGTAACTCACTGAAGACAATGATTGATGGTGGTGCAACCTCGTGTATCAATTAAAGTTGGAAATTAACACCGTTGGATACTAGCCGGCTCAGTGGTCTAATGGATTCTAATCTCGTAAGGCGGAATCGCGGATGCGCACTACTGAGGAGTCCCACAATAGAACGAAACGGCCATCCAGTGTTTCCAGGTTTGCCATGATGATCTAGTTTCAATTGACTTATGATCTCAACAATTAAAATAATCAATTGTGATTGTTATTTAAGGATGAAAAATATAAAAGTTAACAATGATTTCTAGTAATCACCATATAAGTAGTTTAGATTCCAATTTGAACTTTGTTAAAGTTGAAAATAATTTGTTTCTCAATATTCTATATCTCTTTATATATGCGTATAAGCGTATAAAGCTACGCAATAAGGTCATATTAAGTACACATTTCGATAATACTTTTTAAATATTTATGGTCATACCCTTGGGAATTGTCGTTATGAGTAAAGAGAAAAGTCTACAGTTGTTTGAATGTCCACTGAATTAATTAGTTTAAGATAATCAACGTTAAGCTATTTATTTATCATTTTATGGTGTGGTGTGTTCTGGCATAACTCTCTCTCTCTCTCTCTCTATATATATATATATATATATATATATATATATATATATATAACACTACTCAAGCAAAGATGAATAGTGGGTAGCAGTGGAATCCAAGATGTGCGTTTCTTCCTATTTAAGACTCGTCAGCTAGGTGTGTCTGTATCTGAATTGATGTTGACTTCGGGACTCGAACCCAGTACCGTTCGCTTTAAACGCCATCATGTTATCCACTTAGATATCGATCTGTCTAAAAAGCTTGTAATTTACGACAATATCACAGGGTGCAAATATCAACGGGAAGATACAAGAAAAACAATATCAAGTGATTTTAAATTTCAACCCATTGCACAAGCTGGTGGCTATCAGGACTCAGTATCTAAGTGGATAACGCGATAGCGTTTGAAACGAACGGTACTGGATTCGAGTCCCAAAGTGAATATCAACACTGGGATACAGGTACATGTAGCTGACCAGTTCAAAATAGGACGAAACAAACACACACACAATCTGTTTGTCTCTCTCATGGTGAAA